AGCAGAATAATGACAACTGTTATCAGCTTGGAAAGCCCTGTCAGTTCAGTAGAGAAGTAATCCCCTCCTCAGCCTACTTTGAGCTTTGGTTTGCATTTTATGAACAAATTGAGTGAGGTTCAGAAGATGAAGCAACTTCTGCTTTCAGTTGCTGAATTCAGAGAGCGGGCAGATTTCACTAGATATTGTACCTTCTCTTGAGCTTTCCATCCAAGGATCTGAAACCGCTCTACAAACAGTAAACAAACTTAGTTAAAGTATCATCACCACCACATTATAGATGGCTGAACAGCAAGGTAAAGTAACTCCCCTAATGTCGGTGAGTAAGACTTGGGAACAGAACCCAAGAGTCCTGGCTCCCAATTTCCTGCTCTATCCATTGAACCTATTTATTATGAATGCAGCAAAAAAATTTAAAGGTGGAAAAGGCCCCGAGTCAACAGTAGAAAAGAAGGGAATGGATTCCCAACTGCAAAACAAGCCACAACCTCAACCAGAATTTGGCTTGACACCACCTGCTTTGCAAACTGCCCTAAAACCTATGACCAGTGTTTTTTATTTGCAAAGGCACTTCCCGCTTCCAAAGGAGGGTAGAAGTCCCAGCTGGGATCATACTCTAAAACAGTGTTTCTCCACCTTTTAGATACCAAGGACTGGCTTGTTGAGTTCCTAAACTGTGTCAGGGAGATTTCAGGGACTGGCACAGATCCTTGGACCAGTCATTCAGAAACACTGCTCTAAACCACATCAGTGCAACAGCCTCAGCCCTCTCTGCAGGCATTCAGAGCACCCATAGTCACGGTGAATGACATGTGGGGAAGCAGCTTCTCAGCAACCAGCCTACCTAGCTTCTTATAGTCAGTGTTGCCAGCTCTTGGGATTTTATCATGAGTACTGTGATATTCAGTGTTTTATTTAAAGCCCCAGCCCCTGGAGTCATGTTAGTAGGTGAGACTTTCAATTTTCATTAAAACACACACACACAAAGTGTCTAGCCTCATGGCTATGGATAAAGCTTGAAAACGTGATCACTAAGGACAAACAGCAGAAGGCAGATAAAAGGAACCCCAAATGTGTTATTTTTAAACCTCACGATTTTCAAGCCAATCATATGACTTTGGAGGCCTGACTCATGATTTTTCAACACTCGGGGCTGGCCATACCCTACACTACATCCAACACTGTGGTAGCTGAGTCTTAAAGACATTCCTGTTTGGCTAATTTTTGCTCTTCTTCGGCACAAGTAGCAGCAGTTCAGAGCATCACAGGTAGCTACAAAAATAGCCCTCTATGCAGAAATACTTGCAGCTCCTTAACTGTCCACAAAGTTATAGGAGACCTACAAAGCTGGCAGCATTTCTGCCCAGAGCCTTTCCGGGAGGGAAGGGGAAGATGAGAGGGAGAAGAGAGAGGGAAACAATTTATTTATTTTGGTCTCCATTGCTAAACTACTTCTCATGCAGTGAAGTCATTTCTGGAATAACTATGGGATTTGAGTGATTGGTTCCGAGAGCTGCAAAGACTTTCTTTGCAGCAATACCCAAAATAACCGTCCGGGTGCTGCAGCTATGAAAGATATACTTCAGAATCAGAGTTTCAGACAAGAATATTATATTTACAGTTTAAAAGCCCTGTCCTTCAGGGCACTGACCTACATGTCCATATTCTCCAATCAAAGGTTCAGTGACACTGATCAATTCTCTCCTAAAAACTCCTGTGTGCTACCCTTTAGTGAAACTAAACAGATCCTAAATGTATAGAACAGCCACTTGAGTGTGTTTTATAAAAACAATAGCTATTGATCTTTCATCCTTAACACATTTCATTTTAATTACAGGGAGGAGAGACAAAAGAATGTTGGAAAGAGTTCCAGTTAGGGCTATGCAAGATTTAAAAAAAAAAAAAAAAAGCACTCTCTCTCGACAGAACTGAGGTTTCTTGGAAGAGGTTGAACATTGAGGGCTTTGCAACTCCAAGTTGGCAGTAGGGTGACCAGATGTCCCCATTTTATAGGCACAATCCCGATATTCGGGGCTTTTTCTTATATAGGTGCCTATTACCCCGAACCCTGTCCCAATTTTTTACACTTTCTATCTGGTCACCCTAGTCGGCAGTGTAATTTCAGGCAAGTTATTCAGATGAAGGCTTGTGCTGAAGGGGCTCAAACAGCACTAACTTGCAAGCGTCCAGTGAGTGATTACGAGAGAGAGAATTTGAAGTTTGGAGTGAGCAGCTTGTTCACTGCAGGTTTCTACTTGTCCCACACATAGCAAGAATTGTCAGTCACACTATCTAGGCCCCAATCCTGCAAACACTTAAATTTACTCATATGAATAGTCCATGAAAGTCAATGGGACGACTTGCATATTTAGAGAAAAGCACAGGCTTAAATATTTGTAAGATCAATGTCTTAGTTCACATGTAGAATATAAACCCATGCATGCATGATACTGGGAAATGAGGAAGACATTCATAATGAGAAGAAAGATATTGTGTGGGAAAACATCAGAAGACAATCATCATGTAAGTTCTGGCAATAAATGGAGCCTGTCCCCATTACCCTGGATGCCAGCTAACCACACCAGAAATGGAAATAATAAATTGCACACCCTTTCAATCCCAAATCACGGATCCGGGAAAAAATAATCCAAAACAACACTCCAGCCACAAAGAGAGCCCAACTCTCAGTGCACAAGTCCCAGCCCTCAACACACCTCTCACTCGCACAAAATCGTAGGGAAATAAATGGGCTTTGCAGGTGCCTTGAAGATCAGCAGATCTGGGCTATTTTGGATCAAGGGAGGGAGGGAGTTCTGAAGTTCAGTTCTCCTCATGAAGAACACCCTGGCTCCTCCTTTTTATACCAAGAGACTTGAGCACTTACTGTATTCAGTTACAAAGGGAATAGAATTGAGAAGCCAGTAGAGGGCAGTGGAACTCAGTGCACAAGTCAGGATGTTGTGCTCAACTGCGTATAGTGAAAATATTTGAAGGGGAAAATAAACCATTGTACAGCGTTAAACATATTTGCACAGAATTATCCAGATCTGCATGTGTGTCATTGTAAACAAGTAACAATGCTGAGGTAAAAGAGAAAAGGAAAACCAGGACAATCAACTACAGAACATCTAATGCATCTAACTCAGTTCAGACCATGGGTCTGATTTTCAGAGGGATACATGGAAATGAGTCACTTTTAGTTCATAAATTCCGTTTAAAAATAACCATTACAATGTTTTCTAACATTTTAAATTATTAAAATTCAGTGCCTCAAAGCAACCCATTCTCACCATAACAGTTATTCCTTGACGGTTAGGCCAAAAACTGCAGATTTAAAAAAAATATATTAATAGTAAAAACTTTCCATAGAACTATTACAAAAACATTTTGTTTGGTTTTAAACCCATCCTTCCCTTCCCTGCAGCAAGCTTAGCAACAGTCTTGTGCTAGTGCATGAGAATCAAAAAGTGAAACTGGCCCAGCTATGCCACTACTGAGCAAAATGAAGCATGAACAAATTGCATATATGACTGAAGTATTTATTTTAGCTTACAGCCTCCCTTTTAAGGGGGTAAGCTTATCAAGGTGGGAAGTATTAATGGGAAGTTTCTATGCTACTGCCAAACAAAATAAACAGTAGTGTAAGAGTTAAAATCCCTTCCTGATCTGACACTAATCAGGATTGCATTTTGTGACTGCAAGACAGATGTTGTATAAACTCTCAGTGCCCCTTGACCATAGAATATCAGGGTTGGAAGGGACCTCGGGAGATCATCTAGTCCAACCGACTACTCAAAGCAGGACCAATCCCCAATTTTTACCCCAGATCCCTAAACGGCCCCCTCAAGGATTGAACTCACAACCCTGGGTTTAGCAGGCCAATGCTCAAACCACTGAGCTCTCTCTCTCCCCCTGATCTGTACAAACCCCCAGGCATGAGTGCTATGTTATACCAGGGACATCCAAACTTCGCTCAGCTGAGGGGCTGCATGGACAACATCTGTCCACCTGGTGTTTCTCTGTCTAACGTACGTAAAATGAAGTGGAGTGGAGCTGCCCTTGTCTTAGCTCAAGCAGCCACCTCAGATGCTGGGACCTATCAACTTCCTGGGGCCACTCACCCCAGAAGACAAGAGAAAGTCAGGGGGGTGCATCGTAGGACTCTGTGGGTGACATTTGACCAACCCTACTGCACAGGTACCCATAAAGGCTTGGTTGCTTGAAGGGCAGCGGAGCCTCCCTCTCTGGAATCGGGCACCTTGGCAAGGCCACCGTGCAGTGTCAATGAGAGCCACCCAGGGGACAGCCCTGCTCTCCCTGGCCAGCAGGCAGAGCGTGGCCCCTTGCACACCGGGACCCAGGGCTTTCCCTGAGGCCTGAGGGTGGCTGCAGGGCTCCAGAGGGGGAGAGGACACCCGGCACTTTGGCTGCCCTCCAAGTAACCGCTGGCACCTGTGGCCTCCCTGAGGATGCCCCTCTGCATTAGAGCCCAGGGTCCCTCCCGCCCCCCTTTGCGGGGCAGCCACCAGGGACCCTCCTGCCATGGCCGAGGCCCCAGCCTCCTGTCAGAATGGCCCCTCTGCCTCCCACCCCCCTGGCCCTGCCCTGGGAGAGGCCCCCAGGGACAGCCCGCCCCAGCCCCGCTCACCTGCCGCCTCCTCCCAAGGATGCTCTGGCCGCAAGCACCTTTCCTCTCTTCGGCAACGGTCCTAACGGCCGCCAGGGGGCGAGCTGCCGCGGGGCACCCTGGGAAATGTGGTTCTTCCTCTCAGACCCTCCGGACTACGAATCCCAAGATGCCGCGCGCAGCGGAGCCTGGCGGTACGGCTAGGCCTGAAGCGGCGGAGCATGCCGGGAGTCATAGTCTCTTTGCGGGGTACAGGCGCATAGCGGTTAGAGAGGGGCTACAAGAGCCATGAATCCCGGCGCACCTTAGCCCTTCGGTGACGGGCATGCTGGGAGTTGTAGTCTGCTGGGACGAGGGTGTCGCAGACCGCCCGCGCGGAGTTCCACTGTGTCGAATCGGCTGCTGCGGAACCACAGGGGGTTGGGGCAGAAGCACCCCCCCACCCTTGCAACTTCGAGTGTGGAATCTACGGCTGGGAAGGCAGCGACTGAGTTTACCCGGCCTGTCATGGCGGCGGCCTCCTCCCCGGCGGGGAGCGCGCCCGCCGGCCCCCGGCCTGAGGCGGCCGCGCCGGCCCAGCTACAGTACAGCCTCCTGCTGGAGCACCTGGTGGGGGAGCGGCGGGGGCCGCGCCAGGCCCGGGCCCTGGACCCCGCCGCGCTGGGGGGCATCCCGGCCCCGCCCAGGAGCGAGGAGCAGAAGCTGATCGAGCGGGTCATGGAGAGCTGCGGGTTCAAGGCGGCGCTGGCCTGCGTGGGAGGTGCGGAGCGGGGCCGCGCCCGGCACGGGGGCGGGTGGCAGCCGGCGCCCATCTCCCCTTCCCGCCGCTCGAGCTGCCGGGGCCCCGGGGCCGCGCCCGGATTGGAGCCCCCTGTCCGGACCCGGGCTGGGGTGTTACAAGGAGGGGCCGCGGGGGTGATGGAGGGTTATAAAATCACCAGTGGAGCGGGGAACGTGGATAGGGAACGGGGGGTCACCCAATGCAATGAACAGGCGGCTGGTTGGAAACAAACCTAAGGACATACCTCTTCGCACAAGGCAACGCCACCCTGTGGAACTCCTTGCCAGGGGATGCTAAAACCGGGTTCAAAAAAGAACTAGATACGTTCATGGAGGACAAGTCCATCAATGACTATTAGCCAAGAAGATCAGGATCACAACCTCCGTGCTCTGGGTCCCTAAATCTTTGAGTGCCAGAAGCAGGGACTGGGCGACAGGGGATGGATCACTCAGTAATTGCCCTGTTCTGTTCATTCCCTCTGAAGGATCTAGCACTGGCGTCTGTCAGAGGACAGGATACTGGGCTAGCTGCACCATTGGCCTGGCCCAGTTTTTATATTCCGGTCAGTTACTTCTCTCTCCCTGTGCCTCAGTTTCCCGCTTTGTACACCGGGCTCTCCATTACTGGCCCTGGGTGCTTGGAGATGCGCTATGTTAGTAATGTGACTCTGGGGGGAAGTCCACTCTTCTGACCACAAATGTCTTGTACAAGCTGTAACATATCAGGATGCTGGGATGTTTGTTGTGATGACCGTGCTGCATTGCTGCAATCAATGGGGAAACATTCTATTCTCACTGGGTTTTTTTGCTTCTTTAGGTTTTGTTTTGGGAGGAGCATTTGGTGTATTCACAGCAGGCATTGATACCAATGTAGGGTTTGATCCCAAGGATCCCTATCGTACACCAACTGCAAAAGAAGTCCTTAAAGATATGGGACAACGAGGGATGTCCTATGCCAAAAACTTTGCCATTGTGGGTGCTATGTTCTCCTGTACTGAATGTCTAGTAGAGTCTGTAAGTAGCCAACAGAAATGCTTTCATTCTTTAGAAACCCTTGGCATGTGTGTATTCCTACCTAACTTGCTCTTGAGCTACACTAAAGCAACCTTGGGTGGTGGAAAACAGCTCTAGGAGGAAAATGAAGCACACTTAGCCTGTTGGTTTTTGGTGTTTTCCAGCCTCTGATTCCTTGTTATAACAGAAAAAAGTACAGAACAACCCTCTTAGGGCACACTTGGTAACAAAGATCATTCCAGTTCCAGGGCTGGATAAATATATGGTTAATTTTGGGGACTATATTTTAAAGCCTAGCCAACCTTTTTTAAAAATAAAAAATCTCCCTATCAGTTGTACCCATAATTATTTGGGCCTGTAACATTTTAGAAGCAAAAAGGAGGTTGGCGTGAAAATCAGGTCTTGGAGGATAATTCTGGATCAAGTCCTGGATCTCATTGTGTAGCTAGAGAGCAAAGTGACCTTGCTTGTCTCACTGCTAAAACTCTTGACTTTCATATTTCCTTAGAAATAAGGCAACAAGTTTCTTTATTTTAATTGGAAAGTGTAATTAACTCATGTAGAAGAATAAGGGTATGTCTACACAGTAATAAAACATCCACAGCTGGCCCTTGTCAGCTGACTCAGGTTTACGGGGCTACTGTATTGTAGACATTCGGGCTTGGGCTGGAGCCTAGCTCCAGCCTGGATGTCTACACTGCAGTTTTATAGCCCCACAGCCCAAACCAGCTGATATAGACCAACCCCCGGCTTTTCATTGTGTAGATGTACCCTAAGTGTCTTAGGTAATACTCCCCCTTCCCCCAAGAAGTATCACACCAAAGGTCAACGTTGCTATCTACTGGAAAATTAGGGACAAGCATGGTCAGCTGTGAGTCAAGGGGACTGGAGGGGTGTTTTTATTCTCTAAAACTAACATTAAGTAGCTATGCTAATAGTTCCACGTGCACTTTCCTACTGTGACTCCACTGCGTTTCTCCATTCCACAGTATCGTGGAAAATCAGACTGGAAGAACAGTGTTGTTAGTGGGTGCATCACTGGAGGAGCCATTGGCTTTAGAGGTTAGTAGCACTTACTTTGAACTGTTTCTGTCCTAGCTCTGGCTCTGGCCAAGACTGCCAGCTACATGGATGTACTGCAATCTTTTCTAGACATCCCAAGTGCAGAACACTTCCATGTAGTATTAAGGGGGCATCACCATGGAACTTGTAATGGTTCAAAATGAGTTAAATTTGCTTTAGGTGCTGCATCTGCTTCCCTGCTAATAAAAGGTACAGTGAAACTGACTATACACAAGCATCAGTCAAATGGAAAAATATTTTTATTCAAGGTTTTCAGAGTAACTTTGGGTGTTATTACACTTGGATAAGATGTAGAATAACCACTTAAACAGAATATTGCACAGGAAATACCACCTAGGAAATGCCAGCAGCAGCTGGCGCCCCAGAGCGAGTCTAGCTAGTAGCCATCAGAATGGGGCATAGTCCAGCACCAGTCACTGCTTAGCACCTGGGCTTTTGGCAAGAACCCACCAAATGCTCCCTTGTTAAGAATATGCCTGGAAGGGGGAGCTGTGGTTGTGCTGAAGCACAGGATTGTGGTGCTTTTCAGCAAAGTTGGAGTTCTGCCGCCTTTTCCCTTCCTCAAAAGAGTCTTCCCAAAGAGCATTAAGGGAAGCGAACAGCTCTAGAAAGGGCTCCTAATTAAGTCTATTATACTGTGTCTGGCCTGGACCAAATCCTTTCAGAGCTCTTAAAGCAGCTGCTGCCTTTCTGTCCCCATCATACTGTTCAGCCACCCTAAGTCACCTGCAGTGCTGAGCTCAGAGCCAAGTGAATCCAGCCATTGCATCAGAGCTGGAAATATTCATTTGCAGCCCTTCAGAGGCAGAGAAACCATAACAAAGCTCAGTTAGTGCACCACACAGGCTCAGCCCCTGTGGTTCCAAGTGCAGTGTGTGCCAAATTCCGGGGATGCATCTAAGTCCCCTAATCCAATTAAAATTGGAGTGCAAGATTCTCTGCATGGAAAACTGCCATCCTGGGACCTCTTCAAGGCCAGCAGTATAAGCCAGTAAATGGGAAGAAGTACAGGGCATTTCTAATTCTTTCCCTTCCCTTTTTGCATTGCAGCTGGTTTAAAAGCAGGGGCCATTGGCTGTGGTGGCTTTGCTGCTTTCTCGGCAGTGATTGATTATTACCTACGGTAACAACGCAGTCCTGTGGGAAAGTTTCACTTGTGTTCCAGTGCTGCTGGTAAGAGCTGTGGGTTCACCAGACTTACTTCCCTGCCTTTGGAGGGGTGATCAGAGCAGGATATTGCCTGCTGTTTCCGAAATGACTGATAATCCTTTCACCCCTCGCCCTGGCAGGCTTATTTCATGCTCAGGTGCTGGAGTTCCTTGGAATTGAGCCAGTCTTTTGGGCACACGGTGATCAGTGTCATCGTCGGAATGGATAAACAGTCAGTTTCCAAGAACTAAGCCTCTTCTCGCTAAGCCTTCCGGATCCTTTGGGGTCTGACTTCTGGGGAATGTTTTGCTGGTGCTGAAAGAGGCAAGCTGTCAGAATCTTGATAAATAAATGCAGCAAGCTGGGTTGTCAGTTTGCTGCGAACGTTTAACAGTAACGGGTTTGCAATGTGCTGCTCTGTTGGGTAGAAACAAGACCGTGTGGTCGAAAGAATAACTAATTCCAGGCATTTTTTAATATCTGCTGGAGCGTACCTAACCCTCTATACAATGCTTTAAAGTACAACTAAATGGGAACCAACTTTCCTTACCATGTCTTCGAGAACAAAGTGAGAAGGCGTTTTGCCTAGTGATGCCAGTGCCTGAGCTGCCACACACAACATTTCAACCAAACAATTTAGGAAAAAGCGGCTTGTAGACAGAAGCATAATGTTATATGGCAAGCCTGCCTAGCTGAGCTAATCTCACTGTAGTAACACAGCAAGTGATGAGCTACTGCTTCATCTGCCGTTGGATCAAAATGTTAACTCCAAAAAGTTGTGGAGAGACTAGGAAGCCATTGCATTAGAACAGTGTCGGGAGCTTCCTATTTACTTAGCAGGATGCAATCCTTTTCCCACAACCAAGCGGCACCGATTTTGTATGCTCTGTGGTGCTGGCTATTACTAGAAGCTGTATTATTGTGCACTAGAGCTACCAGCTGGACTTGAGTATGACTTTAGGCCATATTTCAGGCTGATTGCCAATTAAATCATGCACTGAGTTTCTGTCACACTGGGTTGAGGGACTGCTGCAGTAATGGCTAGTTAGCTGCATGCTGCCTGGAGGTACGTGTTGATAGGCTCTTCCAAAGGGAGACTCAGGTTCAAGGCCACGCAGGGTATGCAACAGCTGTAAGCAGTCTGATGCCTTACACCATCTCAACTAAGCCTGTGCAGAGCTGTGGCTGAAAGTGGCGTTCAGCAGGCAGAGGTGCTTAGAACTCTCTCATTGAATGTAGGGGAAGATGTTAAGCCTGGGACCACTGCAGGGTATTCTGGGAAGTGAGCAAAGCTAGAGTCTGGGTCGAGTGTTACTACAGCAGGCTGGAGGAGATGGACGCATGGGTTAAGCGTGTTTAGCTTTCCAAGTGGTGCTGAAAGGGCTGGTCTGCCATAGCTGCCGACTTCCTCCATGGACTTATCCGTAGTGTAGTCATAATTGATTGTTCATTAGCACCCATGAACTGGTGCCTTCGGGTGAGTTCTGGCGGCCACGTTTCTAAGACAGCTGTTCCCACCCCTTAGAACAAACATGGTTAGTTTGGTAGGCCCAGGCCTGCTTAAACTGGTATTAACCTGGTTTGCCTTTGTGAATGGCTCAACCACTACTACTCTCTTAAGTGGTCTATAGCCCAGGCTCCTGAGACGAGGGTGGGTTCCAGCTTCCAGTGTGGCCACCTGGTCACAGGCTGCTGACTGTGCTGGGGTAATGACAGCCATGTCAGCACTGGTCCAGTGAGAGCAGCAGCGGGGTTTTAGCTGTGCTTGAGTGTCCCTTTTGGGAAGGGAAATGCTGCTGTCTTCCACCCCATGTGTCCCCACTTTCAGCTGGGGTGGGGAGCCAGCCCCATGTGACCGGTCAGCTCTCAGAGGTTCCCAGCGCGGGCTGGCTCCTGCTCTTAGCAGTGGATCACAGAGTGACACAGCATGCAGCAGCTGGGCTTTGCAGCTCCTTGCTGTAGAGACCTGCCTGCCCAACGGGAGCACCATGTGTGCTTGGACCTCAGAGAGGCCTGCAGTAAATAGCAGTATTTACACTGCAAGGAAAGAAAGTGAAAAGGCAGCGTCTGTTGGAGATAACCAGCTCGCTGCTTCTTGATGCAAACATCTACGCCACCGAGCTACTTTTTGTGCAAACGTCAGGGCTTTGCTTTTTATTAATATTTTTCACATGGTTTACATCCATTGAAAGTTTATAATCTACAGAAGTTGAAACAGAACACAAACAAAAAATAGATCTTAACTTAGTAGAAGTCAAATATTAATGAACCGTTCTATTCTACCTGTAGCCACAAGAGTCCGACACCTCCCACCCCGCTGTAGGAAAAATGAAAACACAGCCCATGGGATTGCCACAGCTTGTGCAGGGGGCTGGTCTCCAGCCCTTTGAACTGGTGTGGGGGTGGGTCATAGTCTCCCTTTGGAATGACACCACAGTTGACAGATGTAGGTACATAAAACACGCAGGGATCCATTGTGCAGTTCGATCTAAACTCAGTCCCGTTATCCAGGGCAAAGTGCGACACCTGGTCAGTGCATCCAATGCCATTTCGCTTCTCTGTCGCCAGCAGCGTGGGGGCTGGAGTGTAAGCCCTTTAGACTGGCATTGCAAGACTTCCCTCTCCCTTTAGCTGCTTCAGTGCTGTGGGGCTAGCAGCTGCCTTCAGCCCCCCTGAGGCTGGTCTTTAAGACAGCACATGGAACAGCAGTTAAAGGCAGCGCTGCTGTTACAAGGGATATGCTTGGTCACCCCAAATAAACCAGCTGTCCATCGGCATTTGGCACAGAGGGTGTAGGGGTAGTGGGCAGAGCTCCCCCCCCCCCCAAGGGGGTGGGGGAGGGGAGAAAAAAAGGCAGGGTTAGTTTCCTTGGCAGGTCCCAGCACCTGTCTGTGGGCTCCAGGAATCAGGGTGGGTTGGGGTGCTCTCAAGCTACAAGAGCAGGAGCCCACAGAAGAGAACACAAGATAGTGTTTATCTGTGGGACACATCCCAGCCAGCAGGCAGAGCCATCGCTGCCTTGCCCCAAGGGCTGGAGGTTAGAATTCAAAGGGAACAAGCTGGGGGGGAAGCTCTCCCAGCAGAATGGCATGTACCCAGGCTGGCTGAATGGATGTGCTTTAGCTTCCACCATGTCAGGCTGGTGCAATGAGGGAGAGCCACGTGGGGAGAATCCAGCTCCTGTTCCAAGCACAGTGGGTTTTCCCCTTCCAGGCCCCCATCTCCACGAGGCTTTGCCCTTCGAGTTCACTTTCAGCTGAGAAGCTGTTTACCTTGGTGCAGGAAGGGACAAAAAGCAGCTGTTGTCCTACAGACTCCGGCAGCCTCCTGCAGTGTTTACAAGGGGCCAGCCTGCGTGTGGCTTGGTGGTACCAAAGCAGAGCCTGGCTCCCTCCCTCCCCTTCGCCTGGTTCTCAGAAGGGTAGCTCAGCGGAAAGGCTGCATAGTGCAGCTCCCAGAGGGAAGAGGCCCCCGGGTAATGCTGGGGAAGGAAGCCTAGCTGCTCATTTGTGCCTTCGCGGCAGTGCTCCACGGGAGAGGAACGGGTGCCAAGGGCTAAGGCATTGGTATTGACGAGGTATGTGAGGCTTTCGGGACAGTCACTCCTCCCTCGTGCTGCAGGACTGAGGGGCGTTGCCCCACCTGATCACTCCAGCAGGTGCGCTTCAGGGAGCTCCTGGCTGAACCTTGTCCGTACCTAACGTCCCCTGGAGACACAGCTGGGGGCTAGAAGCCAGTCACTTGGCACACCCAGACGGAGGCAGGTTAGTATTGGTAGTGTAATGGGACAGCCCTTTCTTCTGTCCACACAAGCCTGCCAAAGGCACCTCTGCCCCATCCTAGAGAGCAGGTTACCCCCAACACTACACAGCGGGAGAGGAGAAACAGCAGGAGGATAGCCACACAGGACACGACAAACAGGCAGAAAGCATAGACCACAGGCCCTAGCTGTAAAGCACCTGGGACAGACATTAAAAATGTCCCCCCCCACCCACTTTTGAGGCCAAAGGTTTGTTCCAAGAGGGAGCAGAGTTCTCCGTTCACACGGACAGCAAGACAAAGTGGAGCTCGTCGTCTTGATGGGTAGAAAGGGGGAGCCCTTGGTCCCTTCTCAGCCTCTGATGCAAGAGGCCAGCCAACGCTGCACGTGCAGGCACAGGGGATGAGGCAAACCAAACAGGCACTGGTGTGATGCTGCAGGCTTTGAGCGGGCAAGACGAAGGGACGCTTGGCTGAAGCTGGGAAGGGCAAAAGGAGAGTTGCAACGGCCTTCGAAGGAACGGGAGCCTGGCAGGAAATGAACGAAGCGAGGGGCTTGCGGCCCGTCAGTCACTACCTCTTCTGTCGAACGAATATACATAAAAAACAATTCCTGACCACGAAGGTACGTAAGACACGACTACTAGACAGGGCGCGCAGGGCCTGGGCCAGGGTTGGAGACTTGTACAAAATGGTACCAAAGATGCAGAGGGCACTGTTCTGGGGAAGTGCCCGTCTCCCCGCAGGGCGAGGCTAGTCTGTGCTGTACCCCACGCTCTGGGAGGCTGGGTTCGTGTGCGGCTGGTGCCTTCTCAGCGCAGGCTACACGTCTGTGGAGAAGTAGAGTGTGTTGCGTTTCAGCTCCGCGAAGGAGATGGGAGGATGCTGCAGGTAGTAAAGGAGAACCTGGACCTGCAGGGGACGCAGAGGAGAGAGAGTTAGGGCTGGGCTGGACACGGAGCTGGCGAGGGGACAGCCGCCAGGCCAGCCCCTGCCTCCAGCCATTAGAAGAACCTTCAAGTGTAAAAAGCCAGGGGAGGAGACGAACCTGGAGACGAGAAGGTGACTAAACCCAGCCCTTCTCCCACAGGGAAACCAGAGCCAAACAAGGGCTGTTTGAATGCACATAACACCAAGCTGAGGGGCCTGATCCACTGTAGGTTTTTAATGCGGTGGCACCCGGAAGCCTGCTCAGGATTGGACCCCACTGGGCCAGGTGCTGTACACAATACAATGCAGCCCCCCCCCATCCTACTGAGGGCCACATGGGCTAGGGAGTCACCCAGACACTACCACACTCCCCAAAGCCAGTCACAGCCCCGCTCAGATTTACCCACGCTGCACAGAACGTGTCCTGGCTGAGGCAGACAGAGCCGCCTCCCCCAGGCAGCTTTGCACCACTGGCCAGCAGCTTTCTGGGGCTTTCTGGCTCTAGAATCAGGCAGAGGCAGGAGACTGGTCCTGGATGAACCAATGGGCTGAGCTGGTGGCCATCTGGTTAACAGCAGAACCGTCTCCCAGCAGGGTGGCGTCTGCTGTTTCCCAGCTGGGCAGGACGCCAGGTTGCCTTGCCGAGGCATGCATGGAGAGCACAGACTGATGCATGAGGGAGGCTGGGTGACCAGAAACGTTCAGGGTTAACCACCCTGTGGGGACAGCCAGGTTCAACACGGCAGGTATAATGGTGCTGAGGCCAGCCCTGCTGGTGTACCCCCTGCCCGGCTGTGCATGAGCTAGGAGAGGGCTGCAGCTCGGCTCCCACACGCGGGGGGACACCCTGTACAGGTGTGAGCCGCAGCTCAGCGAGGGGACAACACGCACAGCCCAGCAGGGGCACTGCTTCTCCAGCTGGATGGAGCCAGAGCAGCGCTCGGCCCCCATACCTGTGCCATAACGTCATGGGACCAGATGTCGGAGGCCAAGGTGAGGTGTCCTTTGCTCTCCACCTCGGAGGGTCTCAGCAGTGTTGGGCCAAAGACCGTGGCCAGGTTGTGGAGGGACATTTTGTTGACGGGCTCCTTTTCGGCAACCCTGCGTGAGGGGAGGGGGGAAGTCAGTCCACTGCGGAGGTGGATCTGGAGCCACCCCAGAGCTGCCCTCGCAGGCCACCTGGCTGGGTGGGGGGCTCCCAGAGCCACTCGCGCTCCCCCAGACAACACAGGGGAGGGGAGCAGCAAGGCTGAGCCGCTCTCTCAGCCCCGTCCAACCCGCCCCCTCTGTTCAGGCCCCTGGCCCCTCAGGCAGAGCACTGCCGGCCACAGCATCTCCCCAGCCTCACTGTCTGTGGGACACAGGCCCGGTGCACTGCAGGGCTCTGTCTCCCTCCGCTGGGGACAGAACCCAATTCGATGGATCAGCAGCTGCCAGGGGTTGCGCTGCCAGCCCTGTGCCGCTGTCTGGGGCGGTACGATGTGCCTGTGCCCTGTGAAAGGTCTGGGGTGGCGTTCGAAGCTGCCCAGGACTCCCCAGCACCTCTCCCCCCGATGTTCTGCAAAGCCCTCCGGCGCCTGGGAAACTGGCATCACAACATCGCTGTCTTAGGAGGCAGCTGTGCTCCTCCAGCACACGCTGAGTGCAGTCCAGGGACCCGCTGGGCCAAGTTCTCAGGATGGAAACCAACCAGCCTCTCCCAGCAGGCTCCTTTGCTCGCTGCCTGCCCCCTCCCCCAGCTCACTCTGTTCCCTGTGTGATCTTAAACAAACCAGAGAGAAAAATGCCTCCTGACGCAAGTAACATGAGACCTCAAGCCCGTGTCCAAATTCCCCCTTCCGGCCAGCCCTGTGCCTGGAGGCAGCGCCGTGAGCAATCCCATGGCCTTGGCAGAGGAGCTCATAGAGCACGCAGAGCCGTACCCACAACTGCCCCTGCCAGGGCACTAGCTGCTGCCCTCCTCCCGCCGCCCCGCTTCGGCGCACCTCAGACACGGCAGCAGGAGCGGCACAAGGGACTCCAGAGCCCATCTCGGAGCAAGGAAGGCCCAAGAACTGCCCGGGACGGATCAGTGCCTTGCCCACAGCGCTGCTGTAAGGGGGCTAGAAGGGGCCAGGCAAGCGGGGAACTTTTCTCCCTGAGCGGAGCCATTAAAACCCCTGCCAAGCACAGACACTAACAGCCACATTACAGGGCTGCCAGAAAGCTCTGTGGGGGGACTGCCACAGAGATCACCAAGAGCTGCCAAAGACCCAGCTCCAGCAAATGCTCTGCACAGTGACAGGAGAGAGACACGCCCAGAGCCGACAGCCTAGCGAGCGCTGTGTTGAGCAGCACAGAGCAGCTAGCCCAGCTCTTGGAGAACAGCCCCCCTCTGGGGGTGGGGGGGTCTTCGCTGCAGAGCCAGGGCTCAGTGCCCAGGTGCGAGCAGCCCCATCACGTGAGCATCCTCCCCGGTGCTGCGCTCCCCTGGGGCGTCACTAGGGCTGCTGGGCCCAGCCCAGGGCTCTGAGCACTGCAGAAAGCCTAGCCGCTCGTGGATTCTGTCCTAGCACGACGGCCTCCTGCACAAGGCAGCCAGCGGGCGGCCAGCCCAGTGACAGGCCTCCCCATTCCTGGGGGGAGAAGAGCCCAAGCACATTCTCTGTCCCATCCCAAGCGTCCCCCACCAGGGATGGCGGCCCCAGCGTTACCTTTTCAAGTGTTCCAGCAGGAAGAGGAAAGTGATGAGGTTGGGATCGGGCAGCGACCGGAGAAGGTGCATCATGCAGTTCTCCTTGGCGGCAGGATCCGAGAGTGCTGGAGACAAGGAGAGAGCCCAGCGAGTGCACACAGCTCAGCCCGGGCTGGGAGGACCCTGTGAGCACTGAGCGGCCCGGAGGCTTCCCGGAGCCCACGAGCCCCAGTTGAGTCTGGCTGGGAGACCCCAGCCTGGGGGTGTGGTGGGGTCACTGGAATGACTCTAAACCTCTCACCTCAAGGCAGGAGCCCTCCCTCAACTAGCAGCCGGCCCCCGGGGAAGCCAGTCCCACAACCACCCACTGCAGGGGACTGGTGCCTTCCTCAGGGGCAGCTGGTGTTGGACCCTGGTTTGACCCCTGGCATCTCAGTAGGAACCAGCCCCCCTCTGCCCGAGCAGGCTGTGGAGCAGAGGCAGAGGATCCAGCCAGGCCTCCCTGCATGGCCCGGGGCAGCACGCGTCTGACTCCCCAGCAGCGTGCTGGGGTTTGGGCTGCTTCCATCCTGCTGCAAAGCCCCCACCCCCGGCCTGGGTCTGGAGCTGCAGGCCCAGGCAAGAGCCTTACCTATCCCCTCCATGAAAGCGGGGTACAGCCGGTCTGTGAGGAGGGGCTCGGGGAGCTCTCGGAAGTACAGCTTCAGGGTGCCCGCGATGGCGTTGATGTCCATGTCGCTCAGCATTACCAGGACGTCCTTGTTATCTGCCAGGGGGAAACAGCTCAATGGTTTGAGCTCTGGCCTGCTAAACCCAGGGTTGTGAGTTCAATCCTTGAGAGGGCCATTTAGGGATCGGGGCAAAAATTGGGGATTGGTCCTGCTTTGAGCAGGGGGTTGGACTAGATGACCTCCTGAGGTCCCTTCCAACCCTGATATTCTATGACCCCCCCAGACCATCAGGATGCTGGCCCAGCCCAGCACAGTGAGGAGGCTCCTTAGTCCTCACCTGCTCCCCCAGGGCACTAAGCTCTGGCACTCAAGGCTCTGGCCAGACGCACAGCTCTCAGGAGGTAATGCAGCCCAGTGGCTAGTGCACAGCACTGAGGCAGCCTGGGGCCTTGCCACGCCCCCTCTCTCCAGCTGTGAATTGGTACTCACCTCACTGGCTGAGCACTGGGGGGCTCTGCACACAAGTGCCAAGAATTATCCTTCTCCCATTTCCTGCCCCAACCTGCTGCACAGTGCTCCTGTGCGCTGCCAGAGAGCTGCTGTGCTCCAGCCCAGAGGCAGCTGCGGAGGAAGGGACTCCAGAGAAACAGCAGTGAGTGTTCTTGCCTTGTTTGGTTCTGCACCACATCTCCTACTGGTGGAGAGCGAAGGGGCCAGAACAGGGTTGTGATCTTTAATTCTGCTGCCAGTGAGCATCAGCCATGGTGGTGCTGGGCCAGGGAGGGACAGGGAGGTCCTGGCAGTGTCCGGACAGGGGAATAGCCAGCTCTACTTTGCAGCTGGTTCTCAGACAAAGCTGAACAGAGAAGAACTTGCCAGCCTCTTGGGAGGCTCTCCTGGCTCCGTGCTTCCTTGAGAGCAGCTCAGCAGGGACGCTGATTGGAAGGAGAGCCCAGGGCAAGAGCTGGGCTGGGACGGAGCAGCCAGGTGCTTATGTTTTGCAGTTCTGCCCGGTGTCTGTGGCGAGCTCCATCCGGAGGAAGGATAGCTCAGTGATTTGAGCTTTGGCCTGCTAAACCCAGGGTTGTGAGTTCAATCCTTGAGGGGGCCATTTAGGGATATGGGGCAAAAATTGGGGATTGGTCCTGCTTTGAGCAGGGGGTTGGACTAGATGACCTCTTGAGGTCCCTTCCAACCCTGATATTCTATGATCTGGGACCATTTCCCCACAGCTGCCTCGCATGGAAGGGCAATCCCACCATTAGCCTTGTTCCGGCTCCAACATGGAGACCACTAGCCGCTTACCCCAGGGATCTGCGGCCTCCAAGCAGAGGGACTGCTGGGCTGGATGGACATGTTTAGCCTGTGGACTCCAAGCAGTGGTGCAGGAGCAACCAGCTCTTCTCTTTCCACAGCCAACCTGTGCCCCACCTCGCCCAGCTTAGCGAGAGGTGCGTGTGCGTGATTTCAGCCGCCCCCCCAGGAAAGCGCTGCTAGCAGTCGTGGGGATGGGAGTGGGGAGCCATTTCCCTGTCACTCACTTGCATCGAAGGCTGCCTTCAGCGCCTGGATGTCTGTGGCGACCCCCGAGATCCGGTAGATGCCGACCTCCTCGATGCCTCTCTTCTCCACCTCCTCGACGCACTGCCGCACGATGTACGGCACCTTGGAGCGCTCCCGCCTGGGGTGGGGAACCAGAGCAGCGGAGTGAGACACCCAGGCCCTGGGCCCGCTGCATCCTGCGCTTCAAACAGCCACAGGGCCATGCACATGGGGTGGGCGGTGGAAGCGGCACCCGCTGCTCTGGCAGGGCTGGGTGTCGCTCAGGGGAAATGGCAAATCAGACCGAAGGGGCAGCAGAGGAGGCAAAAGGCCTGCCCCCAATCCCAGGCTGAAAGCCGTGGGCTAGCGGGAATGAAGCTGGGATGCACCTGCTCTGCTCCGGGAGAAGGGATGGGACAGCCTGCGGTCCAAGCAGAGAGCAGCGCTGGGTGCAGGCCATGCACAGGGCTTCCTCGCACACGCAGTGGCAGGGAGGGACGTGGACCCGCTTGGCAGCATGATGCTGACTCCGGCTGGAAGCCCAACACTCAGATGGGGCGTGTTGTGGAGACGGCACACCCAGGGAGGGCCCAAGCCCGGGTGACCCAGCAGCCTGCTCCTTTGGGGCCGAGGGGTAGGGAAGTGCCGTCGAGCTTGGGGCTGCACAGGGGTTGTCCCCTGATGCCAGGAACTTACTTGGTCACAACGCTGATTTTCACCCCGAAGACGCCGGTCTGCTTTTTGGACGGGGTCCTCTTCAGGCTCATGTCCCGGCTCGTGAACTTCATGGAGAACTCCACCTTGATCTGAGGGAGCATGGAGGGCTCAGTCACAGGGGCGGGAGGCACAGCTGCAGGCAGGGACTTGGCCCAGGAGAGGGCAGGGAGCTGACGGACCCTGGGCAAGCGGGCAGCGACACGCCCTGGCCAGGCGTTTCCAGAGCAGCCTGGGAAGCCCAGCCCTCCTAGCCAGCGGGGGATGAAAGTGGGGAAGCCATCGTGATCCCGAGTGCAGGCACATGGCCAGTGCCTGACCCTCGCCCCGAGAGAGGTCGCCCTAAGGCACGAGCGTTGAATGGGTCCTCGGATTACCTACCCCATTCATCTCAATGACGTCCATGTGCCAGTTCTTGGTCGGCACGGCCTGTGGGTCCAGCTGTGAGGAGAGAGAGAGAGAGAAAGTGAAATTCCCAAGTGCTCCCCTGGCCTGCGTTAGACACAGCCCCACTGAATCCCGGGGAGGACGCTGGCACTAGTCATGGAAGTGTGCAGAACATTGCATCACTGGACTCTTCCTGCCCTACCACAGAATCATAGACGATCAGGGTTGGAAGGGACCTCAGGAGGTCATCTAGTCTAACCCCCTACTCAAAGCAGGGCCAACCCCAACGAAATCATCCCAGCCAGGGCTTTGTCAAGCCTGACCTTAAAAACCTCTAAGGAAGGAGATTCCACCACCTCCCTAGGTAACGCATTCCAGTGTTTCACCACCCTCCTAGTGAAAAAGTTTTTCCTAATATCCAACCTAAACCTCCCCCACTGCAACTTGAGACCATTACTCCTCGTTCTGTCATCTGCCACCACTGAGAACAGCCGAGCTCCATCCTCTTTGGAACCCCCTTCAGGTAGCTGAAGGCTGCTCTCAAATCCCCGACTTGACGAAGCTGGAGTTACAGCAGGGAAAGCTGGTGCCCACCCCACAAGGCAGGCAAGTGCTACCCTTGTGTTACAGATGTGGAGATGGGCCAAAGATGACCCTGAGGGGCCTCTGAGGGAGCCTCTATTGAAGCTGGGATCAGCCCTCAGGATCCCCGGTCCATCCCTGGCCTGCTTGCTGCCCTGGGGCTGGCGTTCGCAGCAGTGCAGCCACCGGCTCTCTCCTCTCCGGCCTTGGGGAGCAGCGAAAAGCCCCCCAGAGGCCGCTGAGAGCTCTGTTACCGCCAAGCCAAGCAGCCGAGTTTCCATAAAGCAGGGCTATTTCTGGAGCAGTCATCGAACAGAGGGAGGGCAGCGTTTTCCACAAACACCTCCCAGGTGGCCGGGGCTATTTATGACCCTGGGAACCAGGGGCTCCGCTGGTTCCGGCCGTCCACATAGGCAGGACGACCCCAGCTGGCCAGCGCGGCGCTGGAGTTCCCAGCCATCCAAGCACTTCCACTGGCCATAGCTGCTCAGGTACCGCACCCGGGGCGGGGCCGATGCAGGTCCCACGCCTGAGGGGCTGCAGCCAAGGCACCCAGCCGCTGCCCAGGTGAAGGCTGGCGGCGACTCAGGACTGCCGGGGAAGCAGCGGTCCCGTGGTGAGCACAAGTGCAGCGGTTTGGTCGCACCAGCTCGCAGCACTGAGCACCACTGCCTGCTGAGGGAAGGCCCAGAGCACCGGCAGGGGGCTGCAGAAGCCCAGTCAGGGCTGGATAAGCAGCCCAGATGCCTCCTGGTTTCCAGCTGCCTTCCTCATGCTGATCCCACAGCATCCAGCTGGGAGGGGGCAGCAAGTGGCTCCAGACCGCCGCGGGGAGGCGGCCAGGAGCTTGGTGACAGATGGGATGGGGTGCAAATGTGGGGCAAGGTCCCAGGCCCTCCCCTGGGCCATACCCAGGACCCCCAGTGGAGTCTCTGCTGTGCTCTCGGCAGGAGGGGAGGAAGTCCCAGTCTCTCCAGGGGGAAGAAGAGATGGAGGAGCTGCAGGGGACCCCTGGACCCCGCTCCATGGAGCCCCAGGCTGCCCTCTCATGCTGCCTCCTCCAGCTCTTCCACTTGCGGGCCAGCTCCGGGAGGGGGCGCTGGCTCAACAAGGTCATGCCAGGTAACCTGGGCCCCCGGCTGGGATGATGAGCTCCAGATGTGGGCGAGCACGCACAGCAGGCGTAACAGGCACCAGGGCGCAGAAGGAGGGGTCACGCCCTGCCTGCATTTTGGGGGAAGTCAGGGAAAGGGGAGGGAGCTCTCCTGCCCCGGCACCCACCAAGGGAGCATGGGCATCGGGTCAGGCACAGCTGCCTGCCCGGCCTGTGGCGGACACTGGCTGCAGAGGGAGCTGGTTAGTCCTCTTCTGAGCTGCTCTGGGTCACCTCTGCTCCCAGCCCCAGGGCAGCCCAGCCAGCCTGGGCTCAGTGACCACAGCAGAGTGACTGACTGGAGCTGATCCATGAGAGCCATAATGCGTCTGTTGAGCAGCCCTGGGAGGGGGGGGGCAGGGGCTTTGACTCTCCCCGAGGAAAGGGACTGGAGGGCTGGCCTGGCTCTGGCCGGTGCTTTCCCAACCCCAACGGCAGAGCTGCGAGGTGCGTGAGCCTTTCCGAATACACCGGAGCAAGGCTGTGCAGCCCAGGCCCCAGCTGCTGGGCCAGTCACGTGCTGCCTGGCTGAGCTAGAGCCCAGCTGTGCAGAGCTGCCTTCGCTCCTCAAGGACATGCCGTTTTCCTCTGGCATCTCCTGGCTCAGCAGAGGCTCTGGCGAGAACATGCTGTTCCAGTGAGGCTGAGAGAAGCAGCAGCCACTACCGGCTTGCCAGCCTCTACCTCCCCTCCGCCCTGGAGCAGCCCCAGACGTCACGCAGGCCAACGCCAGGGTCCCTCCCACCACATCTGCGCAGGAGGTGGACGGAGGGGGCCGTGGCATCCCTCACCCACAGTATATAGGAACAGACAGGCTGAGAAAGCCATGCCCCTGGGTCCGGGCTCTCCCCTTGGCCAGAGCAGTGGGGGCTGGGCCCAGCCAACCCCTCCCTGCTGGGGCCGTCGCAGCAGGGACCCAGTCCCCAGGGATCAAGGAGACAGTGTTTCAGAGAGCGCCCTTTGAGCCAGTATGGGCGAGCAGCCCCCGGAGCCTCCAGCACCCTCTCCCAAACAGCAGGGCCCAGCCCTGCCCTCAAAAGGCCGGCCACAGGCTGTCAGCCTCCCTCCGGCGCTGGAGAGACAAGGGCATGATCTGCCAGAGGGGGAGGGATCCCATGGGGCTCGCCCAAGGAGCTACAGGACAGCAGGGGGTGCTCTTCCCCACCGTGGTCACACCCAGGCCAGCTCCAGCCGTGTGTTCAGAGCAAAGCGTTCAGTCGTTCACGGGGTTCCCAGCCACACCGGAACCTGCCACTCCAGCCAGCCAAGTAGGCCAAGCGCCGGAGGCCGTCCCTGGCACCCGCCCGGAGTCAAAGAGACGGTGCTGCCTCATGCGACTGCCCCACAGCACCCCCCCAAACACGCTCAGACCTGTGCATCGCGGCTCCTAGTTATGGCCAGCCAGCAGCAGCAGCTAGCTATCTTCAGCCCCAGCCGGAGCCGGCCCGCTGCCCAGTGCATTGCAGGGCAAAGCCATGGTGCACTCTTGGCCCTGGGGCTGGATGGGGGGACTGGTGGCAGCTCCCTCCTGCATTGCTCCTCGCAGGGACAGGAGGGGGATGCTGCCCGTCGGGAGCGCTGGTGGGGCAGAGCAGGGCCATGCCAGAGTCACTACGGTTAATACACTGCTAAACAGGCTGGGCAAGGGACAGGGATTGCAGCCCCTCACTACATGCAGAGCCTGGGCTGGCTTGTCCTGCTAGAGGAGGAAGGATGAGCAGAGACCCAGACACCAGCTCTGCCCCCCACCCGCCCCGGTCTCTCCCACCTGAGGCCTCGTATGGCACAGGGGAAGCCTACAGCAGTGTCCATTCCCTGCGTGGCTGTGGTTGGGGGTCCTCCGAAGGCTCCGCAACCATTTGCGGGCCATTGGCAGCGCTCAGCCAGTCCCCGCAGCAGGCCAGGCCGAGCTGGGGCCCGGTGGTTTCTCTCCCTTGCTGTCCCTGGGCCACGTGGAATTGCTGTGGTTTCCAGCCCTCGGCACAGGAATGTCTCCTGACGTACATTCCCTGCAAAGCAGCACAGTGCTCCAGCTACAGCCACGTGTGCCATGCCCGAGAGCATCCAGCGAGCAAGCTGGGACCGCTTGGGGCTGACATGGGAGGGGGCAACCAGTTCCAGCCCCACAGCCCCCCCAGTCACGAACCCCACAGCCAGGGCTCCTCTGGAGTTGCAGGGAAGGGGCAGCAGAGCAGAGAGGACAGAGTCCCTGCTGCTCCCTCACAGTGCAGAGTGGCCAGCCGACAACACCTTCACCGAATGGGCAAACCAAGTAAGGAGCCTGGCTCTGCCAGCGCTGCCAGGCCAAACCCAGCCACCCCGACACAGCCCAGCCTGCCCCACTGCAAGCCCAACACCGCCAGCCTGCCACTCGCATTGCCCGCATGCAGGCGCTGTTCCCACGGGGACACATCCCCCCTGCCTTCACCGCTCCCTTTCTGGGCCTCGTGGCCGAACCGTGCACGGCCAGGAGTACATGGGGCCCAGGACTGGGACAGCAGGGGCGGAACGCAGCACGCTACTTTAGGAGACCGCGGCAGACACATGCCAGGGCTGGAGAAGGCACCAAGCCCTGCCTGTCCCTGTGCACGGCGAGCAGTGCCCAGCAGGGAGGAGCAGGGGCCAGGTGTGGGCTCTGGCAGGTTTGTGTGGAGGATCCTCTACCTCAGCCACTGCCCCAGAGACCCCTTGGCTGAGGAGTCCTAGTGCTGCCGGAGGGGGCCCCAGCTGCCCCCCACCCTCGCTGCTCTGGCAGGGCGGTGACAGAGCTCCCCCAGGTCCCCTCGGCGCTGTAACATGAGCTGACTGCGCTGAACTTCACTGCAAACAACCGCAAAGTTCCCCGCCACTTCCCCCAGGAACTTTGAAGTCCACATATGGAAGGGGTTTAGCAGGCTCTGAATAAGGCCTTTATTAAAGTCAGGTTAGCCTCCCGATTCAAAGCGTGACCCTGCCCTCCAGAGAGCACCGCGCATTCCTGCCTCCTCCCCGGCTCCTTGCCTGCCCCAGCCGGTCCCCTCTCCACAGCCTGGCTGAAGGGGGCACCCCCAAGGACAGGCCGGATGGCATAGGGACACAGAGCATGGGGCTGGCCACCAGGGAAGAGCTACCACCAATACGGCTACGGAGGAGGGCCCGGGATGCATGGCCGCACCCCCATCCACAGGCACAAATGCAGGATCAGTGGGGCCTGAGAACCCCCCTGGTCCGGCAGGGATTCCCTCCCCCATGGAGGTCACACGTCTCCATGGCCATGTACCTGCTGCCACCTGGGAAGAGAACTGGCTGCCTTTGGCTCCCCAAGCCCCCGCCTCTCCAG